TTTTTTTTTTTTTTTTTTTTTTTTGAGAACAGCCCGTTCAGGTGCTAGTATAGGGCTGCACAGGTCAAATCGTATGAAAGGAAAAAAAGTGGAAGCCACAGATGACGCCTGATTGCACAGGAGTGAGTCAGGAAGATGGGCCGCAGGCCCGCACAACGCGGGAATATCAAGGGTGGGTGGGACCGCTTCACCCAAATCAGGCAAGCGGAAAATTGACTCGGCCTCTGTGCGGTCTGCTGGCTTGTGTGACCTCCGCAGGTTCACGTATGCAATGAGTGTTGCAGCAGATCGGGCTCCCGAAGTCGCTGCTCGAGAGGAAAGACAAGCTGTCGTGGCCCGGCAGGGGCAGGTCTTATATACTGTGGCCGGCAAGGGAAGTGGGAGCGAGCGAGCATTGGAGACCGTCCTTCAGCCTGGGTGAGTACCAGACCCAAGTCCCAATTCTCGGTCGTCGATTTTCTTGAAAGAGTGATTGTTGTCGCAGATGCAGGTATTGAGTCGAAAAGACAGTTGTTGGTTCATGATGATACTGTTGATCCACGGTCTTGGCAAAAGGGTTCCGTGAACCGTGTCCGGAGTTGAGTCCCAACCGCCGGCCGGTTTAGCTCCAACCTCTGATGACTGATGAAGAGACATGGGCCGCTGGAATAGCAACCAACCAGTAACAATTAAATAGGATGGTTGCCTCGCAACACAGTCCTGACGAATTTCAGCGGTGAAAAAAAAATCACGAGGTGTCAGGTGCTCTCCAAAAGGAGGCGATAGTGGTTCGCCAGGAGGTTGCTGCCGCCCGCCTGTATCACATCTATTTCTGTGGGTCCTTGCAAGGAACCACAAACTGCCCTCCAACTCTCGCGAACCCTTGCGGGTGTGTCCGAAGCAGAGTATTGTCGAACCCTTGCGGGTGTGTCCGAGGCAGAGTATTGTCCTTTGCGAGTTTCTGCAATTGATCAAGACTCATTTTTCTTTTTTTTCCCTTTTCCATAGGGTCTCACTCCACTACTGTCCACTGTACAATTTTTCGGACAGTTGGTGGACAGTTGTCAGAGCGAAAAATTGTACAGCGGACAGTGGGAAATGCGACATAGCTCCACTTACTGTCCGCTGTCCACCTCTCAAATTTGTGGCTTCACTACCAGACACAGTGATAGCACTACAAGACAGGACGTCCATAGGGTTTTGTCCGCCCAAACTCCAGGTGCACTCTCCAAATTCGGGTCCTCACGGTGAGTCCCTTGAAGGACTTTCAGCGTAACGAATTTTGCAAGCTGGGAGCTGTACATTCACGGACAGTAGATTTTCGACGGGGTTTCTAAAAACTGTCCAAGCCATTTTGCACATGTACAGTGGACAGTAAGTGGATCAAAGTACGACTGTCCGTTTTTGTACAGTGGACAGTAGTGGAGCGAGACCCATACTCATTGGTTCTCCTTTCGCATGCTCCGTGTGGCCATGCAGCAGAAAATAAAGTAAACACAAACTAGCACCCCCAGGAGCCCTCGCAATTTTATTTTTTTTTCGTTTCGTTTCGTTTTGGCCGCCGTGCAGCGAGGCCCATATTCATAGTTTTCAGGAGTCAGGGTCTCGTTAGACACTCCTAAGAGAATCCTAAAATTTTTAGGACGAGTCCTAAAGGATTTTTAGGATTTCGTGCGGCGTCGTTACAAGCAATCCTAAAAATCGTATTTTAGGATTTGTCCTAAAAGGTCTCCCGCGGCTCGTTTTCATATGCGTATACGCAGTCGCGTCCCCAATGTCCATCCATTCCTGCCAACGTCTGTCCAATCCCCGCCAATGGCTACCGTTCGTGGGCGATGTCCAACCACTGACCCGACGGACTGCTTCTGCACCAGCAACTCCGTGTCTACGGTGCCATACGTGCGACGCAATGAGTCCGTGAAACACGGGAATCCTAAATTTTTCAGTAGGTCGGGGGCTACTGGAAAATTTAGGACGATTTCACCTGCGGAATCCTAAATCCTTTAGGACTCGTCCTAACGCTGTTTTCACATTTTCGATCTAAAAATTGGATTTAGGATTGCGTGCAACCAAGACGCAATCCTAAAAACAGGCACTTTTAGGAGTGTCTAACGAGACCCTCACTGGTGAAAAAATCCCACAGCTTGCAAGGAACCACAAACTGCCCGCCAACTCTCGCGAACCCTTGCAGGTGTGTCCGAGGCAGAGTATTGTCGTTTGCAAGTTTCTGCAATTGATCAAGACTCATTTTTCTTTTTTTTCCCCTTTCCGTACTCTTTGGTTATCCTTTCGCATGCTCTCTGTGGCCATGCAGCAGAAAACAAAGGAAACACAAACTAGCGCCCCCGCGAGCCCTCACAACTTTTTTTTTTCCGTTTCGTTTTGTTTTGGCCGCCGTGCAGCGAGGCCCATATTCATAGTTTTCACGGGTGGTGAAAAAATCCCACAGCCAAATCAGCGCCGTTATAATCGCAGAATCCCCAAATCAGCCGCTGATCTTTTGATTCTGCAGAGGACTTTTCTCGGCCTTTTGGCTATCGGCCTTTTGGCTAAGATCAATTCTAGTATATGTTCTGATCAACCCTCGCCCATGGGGGCACAAGTCTTAAAAAAAAGAACACAAGAAGAGTAAAGGACACTAAAATATTTTACATTATTCGAACAACGCAGTCCCACTTGAACGACTGATGAACAATATCCTTTGTATAGGAAGAATGTCGGAAGATTACTCCAACCAGCTGGAGTAGCTCAGTTGGTTAGAGCGTATGGCTGTTAACCATAAGGTCGGAGGTTCAAGCCCTCCCTCTAGCGGTGAAGACAGTAAATTTGATGTTGAAACATTTTGCATAGTAGTGCAAAATCAGCAAAAACTATACAACTATATTTCATGCTCTCAACAACCCATCTGAAAATGGAAATCCACACCCATTCACCACGACTATATTTCATGCTCTCAACAACCCATCTGAAAATGGAAATCCACACCCATTCACCACCAGGGCGGTTTTCCTTTTTCACTTCCTGATTGAGGAGTTCCAAAAAGCTGATTGTTATCTTGGCCTTCGTTGCCGAGTCCAGATGTGTAAATCTTTTATGGTAAAACAAAACCACCAATGCACCCGGGCCTGGAGGCACCGCACTGCACTGCACGCCAGGCTTTTCCAGACCACTAGCAGTGCAGTTTTTCTCTTTTTCGGCTTACACCGCCAGCCGTTGTGGTGCACTAGGCCCAAGCCGCAAAATTTTCTGAGTGGCAACGAAAATTTTTCCACAAGGTTGGGCCTGTGACGCTGGACCCAGTTTCCAGCAGGTTCAACTCCCGACAGACAGATAAGAGCCATCCCAAAATGACGCGTCCCTACTCTAGGTCGATGCTTTTATCACCCCCGGAACTGGAACTCCCAGGTTCGATGTTTGTTATTGAAAACAGAAAAAGAACAAGAACAAAAGAAAGAAAGAAAGACGAGAACAAAAACAGGAAGAAAGGAAAAGGTGACAACCCTGCATGAGATATTTATCCACCACTGGCTTCGAGCACACATCCATTCCTTTCTATTTCGTTTTATTTTTTCATAAAAACCTCAATGAGGCGGGGCGGTCACTTGCATGGGTGATAAAAGCAGCCCTTGCAAGTGGTCCCCGGTTGGAGGGCCTGCGATCCTATCCGAACATCTCACAGGCCCACTCTGGCCATATTGAAAAATACTCAAAAGGAAGACAAAGCCCAGCTAGTGGGACATAGCCCCCAAATGTCATTGCTGACATTTTTATATTTCTGTTTTGTTTCTGTGTTTTCCGGCAGCATTCATGGTCTGAGCTATTTCCACGGTTTTCTCCAGTTGTGATTGAGTAGCCTTTCTGGGTCTTATGCACAATCCATTCAGTAGCCGTTGGGGTTCTTCTTCTTTTCTTTCTTTCCTCATAGACTCTTTTCTTCCTTCTTTTTCCCCCAATCTCGCAAGATCACTGCCCATAGCTTTCACGTACTCTTCCAGACTTTTTTTTTTTTTTTTTTTCACTGTCCTACAGCCTTTTGAGTCTTAGGGCCTA